CAAGCATATAGAGTGGTTTAGAAATTATTTTAATGAAAAAAGGAATGTTCTCAAAGAAAATAATAGAGTTGACTTAACATCATGAAGAAAATTTTCATTTAAGCTGTTGAAGATGTATATTATAGATAAATAAAAATTTTATTAAAGTTACCAGTGTTGATTAGTGTATCTGATTTGAATAATATAGATGTGAAATTACTTGTTTTTTGTTTGATTTGGTTTTTAGATGCAGGGTTTCTTTATAACATCCCTAGCTGTCCTGAAACTCACTCTGTATACCAGGCTAGCCTTGAACTTACAGAGATCTGCCTGCCCCTGCCTCACAAGTACTGGGATTAAAGGTGTTCAATACCAATGCCTGGTTGTGAAATTACTTTTAATCTGAAATATACTTTTGTATAGAAAGAACACTCTAGATACAAAAGTCTATCATTAGCAATAACATCTGGGACAGTCTCATAGGTTTTCATCAGGCGACCGTGCTCTTTTGAGATTTATGACTGTTAGCTGTAAAACTGTTGATATCAAAATCCTGTGTAGTTAGTCGACTTTTACATAACAAAATATCTGACTCAGGCTAATGTTATAAAGAAACACCATTTTTAATACAACATAATACAGACTTGGGTAAGGCTTCATTCATTATAAACACAAAAGCTCTGGTGGGAGGAAGAGATTGTTCACACATCCAAATAGGCTGCAAATGGAGCCCCAGGGCTTTTTTGTGAATCGGATTTTCTGAAAGGTTGTCCACCTTGTCTTGGCAAGGTTTGAAGTCATTCTTTTTTTGTGGCCTGTTTGTCCATTTTGGGCAGCATACTGTCGGCAGTGGAGGCAAGGGCACATTTCTTGCCTGGTAGTTTACCTTTACCACAAAAAAGTAACCTCCATGTGAGGATTTTGGATACCTATTCCCTCCTCTTATATGGATTGGTGCTGCCAGGTGCAGACATGTCTAATTTTCATAAAAATATTAACCTGTGTTATTAAAACATTTTAAATGTCATATTCTGTAAATCTCTCAAGTGTTAGACGACAACCTGGCTTTCTTAAATTATTTATATCTCTCTCTATGAAAACATACCTAATGTGATTACAAGTTCAGTTGTAATAGGTGAGTAATTACAAACATACATATCCTTATTATCTTACATAGTTGGTAATAATAACTATCAAGGACCAGCAATTTGCATTGCATTGATAAATGAGCTGTATAGGTAAAATACCTTGAAATAGATTAGAAATGTATGTACAATATGTCTTAACAAATTAATCTCAGATTTTTATCAATATACAAATTTTATAAGCAATATCCAGAAATCCAATCCAATGTAAAACATTTAAAACACGTTGTTGCTTTTTAAAAGTAGTGTCAATAATCTATCTTTTCTTTTTTTCCTTTCTTTAATTTAAATTAGAAACAAGTTTGTTTTGCATATTAATCCCAGTTCCCTCTAATTCCCCTCCTCCCTTGCCCCCTACTAACACCCAATCCCAACCCTTTATACTCCCCAGGGAGGTTGAGGCCTTCCTTGGGGGATCTTCAAAGTCTGTCATATCATTTGGACCAGGGCCTAGACTCTCCCCCATGTTTCTAGGCTGAGAGTATCCCTATATGTGGAGTGGGCTCCAAAAGTCTATTCGTATAGATAATAGATAGATAATCCATAGATAATGGATAAATAATGATCCACTACCAGAGACTCCAGAGATTAGCCAGACTGCCAAATTGACATCCTCGTTCAGGGGTCTGGAACAGTCCTATGCTGGTTTCTCAGCTATCAGTCTGGGATCCATCACCCCCCACTGTTCAGGTAAGCTGTTTCTCTGGATTTCTCTAGCCTGGACTTGACTCCTTTGCTCATCATTCCTCCCTCTCGGCAACTGGATTCCAGAGTTCAGATCAGGTGTTTAGCAGTGGGTGTCTGCCTCTGCTTCCGTCAGCTACTGGATGAAGGATCTAGGATGGCATACGAGGTAGTCATCAATCTCATTATCAGAGAAGGGCATTTAAGGTAGCCTCTCGACTATTGCTTAGATTATTAGTTGGGGTCAGCATTGTAGTTCTCTTGACATTTACCTATTGCTAGATTTCTCTTTAAACCTTTAATGGCCCCCTCTATTATGGTATCTCTTTTCTTGCTCTCCTCAATTCTTCCCTCCCTTGGTCTTCCTGCTCTCTCTTGTCCTCCTCTCCCCTCCTTTTCTCCCCTTCTCTTTCTCCTAACTTCCTCTCCCCTCCCACCACCCCAGTGTTCCCAATTAGTTCAGGAGAACTTGTTCCTTTCCTCTTCTCCGGGGGGCCATGTATGTCTCTCTTAGAGTCCTCCTTGTGTTCTAGCTTCTCTGGCAGTGTATTGTAGGCTGGTACTCCTTTGCTCTAATTCTAAAATCCATATATGAGTGAGTATATATCATGTTTGTCTTTTTGTAACTGGGTTGTCTCACTCACTCACAGAGACTGGACAACAAGTGGTACAGCTTGATGGTTAACCCAAAGAGTTCTTTCCAGGATGCCCTAAATATGTCATCATTGGCCCAAGAGAGAAGGATGTGTCTTTTTTTGTCATTCAATTTGTAATGGATATTTGTCATAATTTAGGGAGATAAGGTAGTGCATATATTCCAATCCAAAAGAGTCAGTTAAGAAGCTTCGAAAATGCAAATATGGAAAAGTGTAGGACACGCCCATACATACTAAAGCACTCACACTGGCCACCTTGATATTTAATCCTTGCCTCTAATTCAATGAGTATAACAGGAACACATCCTTCAAACTCAACATGAACTTTAACCTAGAGTGCATTTCCTCAGTATTCATAAAGAGCAAGGTAGAGGGGACACAATTTCTGATAAATTGAAATCAAAGCACAAGGAGCTATGCCCCCAAAGAATTGCCAAATTACTAAGTGTATCACTATTATATTGCTGTCAAACAGGGACACAAATTGACAATCCAGGAGGCAGAGGGTAATGGGGAGAGGAGGGTAGAAATAGGGCAAGAGTGGCAAAGTCTCTCTGTCTCTCTCTGTCTCTCTCTTTCTCTCTTTCTGTGCCTGCCTCTCTCATTCTCTCACAAACTCACACACACACACACACACACACACACACCTCATACCCTCTACAAACCCTCTCATACATTGTGAAAGCAACAGACACACACACACACACACACACACACACACAAGCATGCACACAGAGATAGAGACAGAGAGACAGAGAGATGCACTGACACAGCCTTGTTTAGAAGGACTAGAAAATGGATATGAAGGGCCTGGCAATTGTCATCAGATCCTTGGCCAGGCTTCAAGAATTCACTTTGAGCTCTGCATTGGCCGGATCCCTTCAGCAGTCCTCCCTCCTCCCAATACAAAGGGACAAAGTGGATGTGTAGGCAGCTAATGACAATCAAATGCTCCTTTTGTTTGTGTCTGAGGGGTGAGTTCTATTGTGACCCACAGGGACTGCGGGATTGCACTCTGACTGGCTGTTCAGCACTGTGCCTTTCTCTCCAGGGTACTGAAGGAGGTGGTCTGAGCAGACAACCTGATCTCAAGGCCATGGATTACAACAGTTCTTCATCAGATTTAGCAGTAGGAAGTCTATTCCCATCAATGTGGACTCCAGGTAACTGACTTTTGAGCACAGGGTATCCACAGAATGGGGACAAGTGGCAATCGGGCCCTACATGTGGCACACGGAAAGTAAAACTATCACAAAGATGGCCACCAGAGGACTCTTCCACTAGCCAGTGAAGAGAAGAGTGGAATGTGAAGCAAAAGACCACAATTGGAAGAGAATAAAAGAGTTGGTCTACAGCACATGGATTTCAGTGAGAGCTCAGCGGGAGCACAAAGCTTATGCAGCTCCCAGGGAGAAGTGAGGTCATGATCCCAGAGAGGAGTGTGTATCAGGGTGTGCCCAAACAGAGCTACCCAAGCCCATATTGAGTAGGAGAAAAACCTTCTATCAAGATTGCTCTCACTGGCCGGGCGTTGGTGGCGCACAACATTAATCCCAGCACTCGGGAGGCAGAGGCAGGAGGATCTCTGTGAGTTCGAGGCCAGCATGGTCTACAGAGCGAGTTGCAGGACAGCCTCCTTAGCCACAGAGAAACCCTGTCTCCAAAAACCAAAAAAAAAGATTGCTCTCATTGAGCCAAGTAGCATCAAAACAGACAAATCACTGAAGCCTACTAGCCAGTATGGAGATCCAACTTTTGAACTTCTAGTCTGTGGGAGAGAGGGTCACAAGAACATAAGCCACAGAAAAATACCACACTCAGGCACTAGAGTGGGTGTTGCCAGGAAGAGCCCAAAGCAATATCAGGGTAGAGAATCTCTGGCAGGTGTTTTAATGTGCTGCTCTCAAAGGTGGATCCCATACTATGTTTCAGTAGAGGTATAGGGGCAGGAACATCCCGGACCATGGAGGAAACTTTGTATGGGAGCCCAAGAAGTAGTCAATGGATCCCTGAACCTGAGGTACCCCTCTGACAAGGTTTACCACTGGTCTATCATGGCCTATCAGGACATATGTCACTCTTTGTCTCTGTCTCTCTTTCTGTATGTCTCTGAGTGTGTGTGTGTGTGTGTGTGTGTGTGTGTGTGTGTGACCACACCTGTGCTGCTACTGTGTTATTGAACATTCTCATTACCGAGATGGAAGGCCAACTCTTAGTAAGGGTAAATACACGATCCCCAGGAAGCCTGGGACTTGATGGGCCAAGGTTTCATAACTTATTGTGGGTATTCTTGGATTCCTCAATGTCAAGCAGTCAAAGCCTTTAGTGCCACAACAAAAGCTTGGAAATGGAGCTCTGCAGGCTGTCCTAACTGTCAATGGTCTTAATATCTTGAAGTGGAGGTGGGTGTGCAGAGTGTGTATATGGCACCCCTGGTTAGGTAGGGGGATGCCACTTGGGTTTGTCCATTGCTCTTGAAACGCTGGTAGTGTAAAAAACCCCATGTGCCCAGCAAAAGAAAGCCCTCACACTGTCATGGTATGAGGACAATTTTAATGGCACAGGTTGAAAACATCCTACAGTATGGCATAGGGAAGGTAGTTATGAACCCCTGGCTTAAAGAAAGAATCAACTGCAGGTCAATGATTACGGAAAGGGAGACTACAGGTGAGGGTCCTTCAGTTCTGCTCAGTGTCATGAGTACAGGCAGAGGTGAGTCGACTCGTGTGGATTTGCGATTCCAGCCTGAAGAGGAGTTTTCAGTGTTACAGCTCTTTGGACATGAACCTGACAGATTTCAGTCACCTACCCAGTACATTCTGCAGTGGAACGCAGTCATCCATTGCGATTATTTTCACTCTGCAAAAGTCCATCCTGTTGGAACCCTAGATCTGGGAAGTCACAGCAGGGGGGCAGCCATCTTCTCTCCAGGTGAAGGCTCACTTCCTCATCACTGTCCTCTGAGGAGGAGCAGACCATAAGCTCCTCATTGAGGCCACTCCATGGGACCTGGGAGCGAGCCCCTCCCCTTTCTCTTGAGAAGCAGTGCTGTCAGGAGGAGCTTTTTGCTTCTCATGGGGAAGTCCTTGGGCTCCTTCCATGAACCTGGAAGTGCAACAATCCCCTTGGGTCCTGGTGAAGATCATCCTCAGCGGTTGCCCTGCAACATGGGAAGCTGAGGGCTCCTGGGACTCAGTTCAAGGGCTGACTGAAACCAGGGCAGTTCGGCTGTGGAGTCTTGGTTGGTCATTTTGTTCTGTGTGTCTTTCACAGCCTGGCTTATGGTCTCCAGCGTCCAGAAACCTGAGTCCTGTGAGGATCCTTGTTCTCCTCCTTCCTGGCTTCCAGTGGTTGTGGCACTAGGAACCCATAGACGCTTGATTGGCCACCTCCTCCTTGAGGTGTGGCCAAAGGCTCCACAGCCTCTGCATTTCACCTGTGAGTGCCAAAGGATGTATCAGAGTCAAAAAGGGATCCCAGACCTATGTAGACTCAGTCCACGTAAAGGTCCAAATACCCTTCAATGTTCTCCCTAGAATGAGCACACACACAGACACATGTACATGTCTCACACATGCTATACAAAGGGTTTAATCATCAAAGGGCTGTTTCTTTGAACATGATAGAGGCAAGTGTCTTTTGAGAGGTGCCAGGGAGATGATAGTGATCCCTCTCAACCAAAGAACCAGTCCTGCTAAAGAGGATCTGTAGCTAACTTCCTGATCATCCTTTACGTCTATAAGCAGGAGGTGTAGTTCCCATGCCTGCCTCTTTATTAAGGTGAGGATCATCATTCAATGAGACAACTTTAACAGAGTAGGAGAACAGTGGCCAGTTATGGGCACAATTGACTGCAGGATGGTAGCACCATTTTGTCCAGAAAACTCATTCCATTGACACCATTTACCAAAATGTAAGCAAAGACCTAACACATTCAAGTCCATGATCTGGGATAGCCTCTGAATGTACTGTCCATGACTTTTGTTTTCCTTTTTTTCCATTTTTTTAAAATTTTATTTTCCAGTTTAAATTTAGATAAGAAACAAGGTTGCTTCACAAGTCAGTTCCAGGTCCCTCTCCCATTCCCTCCCTTCCTCCCGTGCCTCCCCCCCCGTTATCCCCTCATTTCTCCGGGGAGGGTGAGGCCCTCCATGGGGGTGTGCATAGTGTGTCATTTCATATAGGGCAGGGCCTAGACCCTTCCCCAAGAGTTCAGGGTGAGAGTGCACCTCACATTGTTCTATGGGAGTCCAAAGTCCGTGTGTATATTTGGGATGGGTACTGATCTGCTGCCCAATGCTCAATAGATTTCCTAGGCCTCTTCACTGACACCCAGATTCAGGGGGTCTTGATCAGTCCCATGCTGGCTTCCCAGGCTAATGCCTGGGATTCAAGAGTTAACCTTTGTCTGGTCAGCTGTTTCTGGGGGTTAAACCAGCCTAGTCTTAATCCCTTTACATTTGCCACAAACAACATAAAATACCTTGGGGTAACGCTAACCAAACAAGTGAAAGACCTGTATTGTAAGAACTTTGAATCTTTAAAGAAAGAAATTAAAGAAGCCCTCAGAAAATGGAAAGACCTCCAATGCTCTTGGATAGGAAGGATCAATGTAGTAAAAATGGCAATCCTGCCAAAAGCAATCTACAGATTCAATGCAATCCCCATTAAAATCCCAGCACAGTTCTTCACAGACCTTGAAAGAACAATAATTAATTTTGTATGGAAAAACAAAAGACCCAGGATAGCCAAAACAACCCTGTTCAACAAGACTTTTGTTTTCTACTTAGGTCCTGCTATTATTGTTAAATGAACTATGTCAACCCCAAATGTTTCTGCTTAAAACCTCATCCTGAGAAAGGTTCAGTAATCCAGAGGGGAAGGGACCACCAAGCATATACTCTCGCAGCCTGTTAATAAAGACTTTCTATTGGCCTATACCCATGTCTTCTGTGGTGTACACCCCATAGCACAAAAATTCAGTCATGAATCCTAGTATATGTATTGCATACCCTAGAGGTCTAGGCACATACAAGTCTCCACTTACCCAAGGTTCTTTTCTTCCAGTGGGGGAACCTTCTGTGCCATGGACCCTCTTGGCTTACTCTGGGCTCTCTGTGGTGGAAGGCCTCCATGGCCCCAGATCTGCAAGCATCTCGACTCACTGAATGTGGGTCCATCACCTTGAGCATATTGGCTAAGATTTCCTAAATCAAAGAAATCGAATAGTTTTAATCAATAATGTTAAACTTCATAGAAGAACATGTGTCCTGCTAATGGCCATTACAAAATGATCCCCTGCCTCTGACTTCCCAAGCATATTCAAACCAAATTGGAACTTGGGGACTTGAAGTTGGAACATTCTAGCAATGTTTCAAATTAAGAAATCTGTTGCCAAGTGGTAGTTGCACTGGCCTTTAATTGTACCACTTGGGAAGCAGTAACTGGAAGATCTGTGTGAGCTTGATGCCAGTGAGTTGAGAGAGAGAGAGACAGAAAGGCTCTCAAACTATTGTCATATAAATATGGATTGAGCCCAAGTAAACCTCTCACCATACTTGTTTTTGGTAGAGAGAATATCCAAATTACCAAAACAACAAATGAAAAGGGGAACTTAATAACATACACTGAGGCTGTCCAGTGGATCATTATTAGGTCCTAATCAAAAACCTGTACTCCACAAAATTAGAAAAAGAAATAGACAGTTTTCTTGATAGGTTAAAAAGGGCCAAAATTAAATCTAGGCCAGATATACAATATAGACCTATAACCACAAAGGAAATAGAACAGTGATTACAAGTCTCCCTACCCCCTGCAAATACACACACACACACACACACACACACACACACACACACACACACACACACACACATAACAAACAGGCTAGGGCCTGAGGTCTACAAAGTCGCTCCCCTTTGCAGACAAATGCTGACATGTTCCTGCACAGCTGCCTGTCCCAGGGATGTAATAAGCAGCAGAGGAAGGCTAACTTTTACCATTCCCCCCATTCCCCCCGAGGACCCAAAACATCAATTTGACTATGAGTAAGAGCAATGACCCTGTCCCTAAAAGACTGTTTCCCCATGTCCTAAATCAATGTCTTTTTGTTTCCATGTTGCCTCTTTGCTCACCTGATGTCCCCTGTTCCTGTTGGCTTTCATAAACATCTGTTGGACCAGGGATTTACTTGGTCTGTTTCAGAATTCAGATCGATGCTGATGAGTGTGCCACTGCTCTATGGTTCTCAGGGTAGACCAGCTGTCCTGGAGGTTGGGCAGGTACTTCCTCAATTGTCCTTGGGAATGACCTTGGATATCACATTCCAAGTCCTCTTTCTTAAGCCTGTTTCACACATGGTCTGTGCTGGAGACTTTCATCTTACCTTCCTGTCTGTCCACAGATTTTCCTCATGCTGGCAAATGATGTTTTCTGATACTTGTGAAATCCAGACACTTATCAGAGAACTCTAAATGGCACCTACATATCGGAGTTTCTTCCATGCCACTCTGTTTGCTACATAGTGACCCCAAAACCATTTTGAGAATCACATTCAAGGTATGGCATGTAAAAATGTGTTTTACTGGCTTCTCATCCCATGTATGATGATTACAAGTCTCCATAGGGAGTGAGATACCTGGTAATGAAGCTAACTGTTTCCAGGTGGCCACAGGAGTCTCACACCCTGCCTCTCCAGACATAACTAGTTTTCTATAGGTCTTACCAGAAAGCACTTAGACACAGGCACGTACCTTTGAGTCATCAGAATATCCTTGACCTAAACTTTGCAGGCAGGCTCTAAGTCTTCACTTCTCCATGCCGAACTTGCCTATGCTACAGGTTTAGGATAGCTGGTGTGGGACATGACAGTCTGGCAGATTTGACTTCCATGTGACCAGAGACAGACTCAATTCTGGAGTGTTGATCCTATGAACACCATGTTTTTTTTTCTGAAAGCCTTCACTACCCGTCTAGTGAAGGTCAGTGTGGTCCTGAACTCTGCCTGTGTTTGTGTTCTCCACAGCACTCAAAGATGCTGAGGTTCATTGCAGGAAACAAACAGGGTGCTACCAGACAGAATGGAGACCACAGTGCCACATGCCAAAAAGTCTCTGTGGAGAGAGATGTTCCCTGGAAGCCCTCCCATGAAAAGTTTTGCAAGTTCCTGCATGTTGCCCTCCAGGCAGGAGCAAGGGCAAACCACGGCTGTCACTGAAGATCCCAAGACCCTGTTCAGGCAGGATGGCAGAAAGACAGTCCCACTGGATGCACTCCACCAGCAGCTTCAAGGTACCTCAGCACATCACCCCAGGACTGTGCCCAAAAGAGACGGACGTGGTCAAGCGTTCAGCGTGGAGTGCAAAGACCAGGGGCCCAGAACTGACCAACCAAGGCTCAAGAGCACAGCTGCCCTGGTCTCAGCCAGACCTTGTACTGGGTCCCAGGAGCCATCAGCGCCCCATGTTGTAGGCCAACCCCTGAGGATGATCTTCAACTTGACCAAGGTGATTGCTGGACTTCCAAGTTCATAGAAGGAGCCCCAGGACATCCCACTGAGAAGCAAACACATACTTGTATGAGCCCAGCCTCTCAAGATAAGGGGAGGGAGCCAGCTCCCAGGTCCTATGGAATGTCCTCTATGAGGACCTTCTGGTCTCCTCCTCCTCAGAGGACAGGGATGGGGAGTGAGCCTTCAACTGCAAAGAAGATACCACCTCCCTGCTGAGACTGCCTAGATCCTTCAGGATCCCAACAAGATGGACTTTTGGGAAGTGAAAAGAATCTGTGGATTACTGGGTTCCTCTGAAGAATGCACTGGGTAGGTGACTGAAAACTGTCAGGTTCACATCCAAAGAGCTGAAACACTGAAAACCCCTCTCCAGGCTGGACTCACATCTCCATGTGAGTAGCCTCACATCTGCCTGGTCTCTGGACACTGGAGTGTGCTGCTGAGAAGCACTCTGAAGCAAGTCACCTGTCATCTCCCTTTTCTTTGTATTGACCTGTAATTGTTCTTTCACTAAGCCCCATATTCCTAACTATCTTCTAGATGCCATACCATATGTTGCTTTCAACTTTTGGCATTAGAATTGTCCTCTAAATCATGCCTGTGTGGGTTTTTGCCCTGTCTATGTTTTAATAGCAATCCACAAAAGCAAGTGGCATCTGCCTAACTCATCAGTGGTGCCATACAGACACTCTGCACACGCCACCACAATGTCATGTCAGTCTAGTGTTAAGCAAAGCCATGATCGTTGCCTCAGTTCTAGGACTCCACTGGCTGCTTCTTGAATCCCATGCAAGGTTTCCTTCATGGTCAGTTTCCTGGCCCTGAACCTCATTTTAAACTTGGTATGGGACACAACATTGAGAGCAGCACATTACAAACCCTGTCAGAGATTCTCTACCCTGCTCTATTTGCCTTAAAGCTCTTCATGTCAACACCCAGTCTAGGGCCTGGGTGCCTCTCCTTTCTTGCAACTTATATTCTTCTGAAAGTCTCTCACAATGGCTAGAAGTTCAACAGCTTGGATCTCCTTGCTGACTAGTAGGCTTCAGTGATTTGTCTTGAGTTTCTTGGCTGGGCAAGGGCTATCTTTGCATAGGTTTGTGCTCCCAACCAACATCAGCTCAGGTAACTTTAGGTATTCCCTGTTGGATCCTCTTCTTTGTATCATGATGTCAGTCCTCCCCCCTCCTGGGCAGTGCTACACAAGCTCTGTTCCTTCTGGGTTCTCAGTAGCATTCATCTGCAGATCAACTCTTTCCTCATCCAATAGTTCTCTTTTGCTTCTTGCTCCACTCTTCTTCACTTTCTGGTGATCTTAATTGTTATGGTTTTAGTTTCCTTGAGTCACCTATCCTTGCCTGTATGCCCATTATCCCCATTGGTAGACTCTCATGCGCTCCCAGCCTGCTGGCTGGCAATAAGCTTTATGGATGAATTAGTCCCACTTCAAAATCTGCCAAGTGTGAGAGAATATCCAAAATTAATGAAATTGGAAAATCTGAGACAATTTTTTGATATGTACCACGTACCAAATTTAAATGGAAGGAAAAAATGCCACGTGACCATCTCATTGTTGCTGAAAAGGTCTTCCACAAAATCCAGCACCCCTTCATGAAAGGTTTGGAGAGATCAGGGATAGAAGGAAAAAACCTAAACATAACAGCAACAAACAGCAAACTGACAGCCAACATCAGATTAAATAGAGAGAAACTCAGAGTAATTCCACCAAAATCAGGAACAAGATAAGTCTGCCCACACCTCCATATCTATTCAATATACTACTCCAAGTCCTAGCTAAAGCAATAAAGCAAGAAAAGGAAATCCAGGGGATACAAATTGTAAAAAAGGCAAATTCTCACTATTTACTGATATGATTATATACATTGGTGACCCCAAAAATTCTGTAAGGGAACGCCTACAGCTGATAAATACCTAAAAAAACCAATAGTACACCTAGGTACAAATGATAAGTGGACTGAGAAAGAAATCCGAGAAACACCCTTTACAGTAACCACAAATATAAAATATTTTTGGATAACTAACCAAAAAAGTAAAAGACCTGTATGAAAAGTCATTGAAGAAAAAATTTGAAGATATCAGAAGATGGAAAGATCTCCCATGCTCTTGGATCAGTAGGATTAACATAACAAAAACAGCTATCTTACCATAAGCAACCTACAGATTCAATGTAATCCCAATCAAAATACCAACAATTCTTCAGACTTCAAAAGAAAAATGCTCAACTTCATATGGAAAACCAATAAAATCAGTACAGCTTAAACAATGCTGTGTAGTAAAAGAAATTTAGGAGGTATCACCTACCCTGATTTCAAGAGCTACTATAGAGCTAGCTATAGTAATAAAAAACAGCATGGTATTGGCACAAGAACAGACAGATCAATGGAATCAAAATGAAGACCCTGACATAAACCCACATAAATATACCATCTGATTTTTGACAAAGCCAACAAAATTGCACAATGGAAAAAAGAAAGCCTCTTCACAAATGGCGCTGGCATAACTGGATGTCAGTATATAGAAGGACGAAAATAATTCTTTATCACCTTGCACAAAACTCAAGTCCAAATGGATCAAAGACTTTAACATAAATCTGTTTACTCTGAACCTGATAGAAGAGAAAGTGGGAAGTTGCCTTGAACGCATTGGTATAGGACACAATTTCCTGAATATAACATCAATAGCACAGACTGACAATAAATGGGACCTCCTGAAACTGAAAAGCTTTTGTAAGGCAAAGGACACTGTCAATAGGACAAAACAGCCACCTACAGAATGTGAAAATCCTACATCTAACAGAGGGCTGATGTCCAAAATAAACAACCTAGACATCAAGGTACCAAATAATCCAATTAATAATGGTGGGCAAATATAAACAGAATTCTCAACAGAAGAACTCAAATGGCTGAGATTCACTTAACTGATCAACATCTTTAGCTATCAAATTAAAATGACTGAAAAACCATCTTATATCTATCAGAGTTTCTAAGATCAAAAAATGCTAATGACAGCCTATGTTGGAGAGAATGAAGAGTAAGGGGAACACTCATTCACTGCTGGTGGAGTGCAAACTTGAACATCCACTTTGGAAATCAATATGGCGGTTTCTCAGAAAAGTGAGAATCCATTTATCTCAAGACCCAGTGATATCACTTTTGGCCATATAGCCAAAGGATGCCCAACCATACCATAAGGACACTAGCTTAACCATGTTCATAGCAGCATTAATTGTAATAGCCAGAACCTGGAAACATAATGGATAAAGATGTGGGGCATTTACACAATAGAGTAATATTCAGTGGGAAAAAATGACATTATGAAATTGCGGGCAAATGGGATACTTTTCGTGGTTCCATTAGAGTGAGATAAGCCAGACCCAGAAAGACAAACACAGTATTACTCACACATGAGTGGATATCGGATATAAAGCAAAGGATAACCAGGTTACAATCCATAGGCCCAGAGAAGCTAGGTAACAATGAGGATCCTAAAAGTGATGCGTGGGTTTCCCAGGGAAGGGGAAATAGATGAGATCTCCTGGGTATACTGGGAGTGGTACTGGAGTTTGGATAGGGGAGGGGATGGAAGTAGGGGAACATGAGAGATTGGATTGGTCAACTTCAGGGTGGGATGGAGTGAGAGAGCAAAGAAAGAAATATCTTAACAGAGGGGAGCATTTTGGGGTTATAAACCTGGTGCAAGGGAAATTCCCAGGAATCTGTAAGGATGACTCCAGCTAAGACTCTTAATAGTGGAAAGGGTACCCGAACTGGCCTTACCCTGGAATCATATTGATGACTATCCTAATTGTCAACAGAGAGCCTTCATCCAGTAACAGATGGAAGCAGATGCAGAGATTTACTGGCAAGCACTGGGATGAGCTCTGGAGTTGTTGACAAGACAGGAGGGATTGTACAAGCAAGGGGTTTTAAGATCACAATAATGAAATCACAGAAACCTTTGGCCTGAGCTAATGGGAGCTCAAGAATTCTATATACTAGCAGCTAAGGAGGTGCATGGGAGTGACCTAGGCCCTCTGCATGGGGATGACAGTTGTGTAGCTTGGTCTGTAGACTCCCTAGCAGTGGAATCAGTACCTGTTCCTGATACAAGAGATGGAGTTTTAGAATATATTCCTTAAGCAGGGAAGCCTTGGTCAGCTTTGATGTTGAGCGGGGGCCTTGGTCCTGCCTCAACATGATAGGACCTGCTTTGTTGATTCCCATGGGAGGCTTGCCCCTTTTTGAACAGAGGAATGGATAAGGTGGCATAGAAGGGAGTTGGGGGAAGGAAGGGGGAGAGAGGTGGGAGGGGAAACTGATATGTAAAATGGAAATATTTAAGAATTATAATAAAAATTCTGCCAAATGAGAACTACCATACACCCCACAGTTGAGGCCAGGCTGTCTGCTCAGACCACTGTCTTCAGCACCTTGGAGTGAAAGGCACAGTGCTCAGCAGCTCCAAGCAGCCCAGGCAGATTCCAAGCTCAAGGTCAGATTGGGCTACAAGAGAACTCATCCCAGAAACTGACACAAAAGTAGCATTTGCTTGGTGCTATCTAGACATTCATGTTATTTCTTTCTAGGCAGGAGGATTGATGGGGTAATTGTGCATTTCAGTCTATGCTACAAAGCAAATACCAGAAAACCCTGACCGAGGACCTGAGACTCTACTCCATGAACACTGGTCTCCTCATATTCTCTTATTTTAAACTGAAGTATTTAGTCTTCATGGTTTACCGCCTTCCTTCACCACTTCCAAATCCCATGCTGTTGCCCCATATTTTCCAATTCATGTCCTCGTAGTTTCTAAGAATCTCATTCTTTTCTCATTATTTCAGTACCTCATGTATACGAAATATATATTTTCCAATGGGATAACTCTAATTATTTGCTATATCTCACATTTACCCCAGGAAATTAACCACCATCATTTCAAAAGAAATAGCCTCTTTATCTCATTCTCCATCACTGTCTCTGTCTCTCCCTGTGTCCACCCCTCCACTCCCATGTCTACGACTGCCCTATAGACTCTCATTATGTTTCCCTGACTGATAGCACTATAGAAACGTTACTATCAGTGATTAGAAAATTACTTTAGGGTATAGCTCCTTCATTAATGTGCTTCGCAGGTGAGTTGGTCAAATGCTAGCTCCTCTCATTGGTAAATTCTGAGGAAACAGACAATTTGAAGGTCACTGGCATTGATGAACATCTCAATAGCCAGTGTTTTTGTGTGACCCCTTCAGTCCCAGGCCTTCAACTACCAGTGAGGTTGTACTTTCACCAATTACCTCTTCTACCTTCTCACAGTGCCAACCCTCAGCTGCTCTCCATGACCCCTTCATGCCTTCAAAACTCAGTACTACCTAGGTGACTCTTACTCATAATAAAAGTCTGGTTGCCAGCATGTAGTACAACCTTGGCTGCCTCTGGTACACTGATTTTCTATGCTCTCGAGAAACACTTCCCAGAAGATTTCACTTGAGTGATTCTTGTCTCTGACTTTCGAGACAGGCTTTCCCTGCCTGGCTTTGGAGCCTATCCTGGAACTAGCTCTTGTAGACCAGGCTGGTCTCGAACTCACAGATATCCACCCGTATCTGCCTCCCAAGTACTGACATTAAAGGAGTGTGCCACCACTACCCAGCCCTCTGGTCTCTTCTTAATCACCACTAACTTCTTAGCTCTAGCTGAGCAGCATCAAGTACACCAGCAAAGCAAAGTTTCAATTTAGTAGTTCTGGTGCCTTGTTAATCACAACTGATTCTTGGGCCCCACTGAACCAGAATCACACAATCTTAATTCAAAATAGCAATGACTCTGATAGAGACTTTAAGATTCCTTCTGAAACCTCACCAGCCAGTCCTCCATCGTCTACACTGCTCTCATCATTCTTACTTCCCAAGCTCATAAAGAACATGCGACTGAGCTCTTAGCCAGGAACTCTATGCTTTGGCCCCTCCCCCCTAGGTCACTAATTGAGAAAATGCCTTACAGCTGGACTCAGGAATGAATTTCCTCAGCTGAGACTCCTTCCCCTCGATGACTCTAACTTTCATCAAGCTGATACACCAAACAAGCTGGTACAGTCAGTATGGGCCACAAGAGATCTTGCTTCTGAAACAAACACAAAAATTGCATTTTCTTAGTGTTTTCATATTTTCATTTTGGAGTAGGAGGCAGCAGGATTAGTGAAGGAAATCTGGACAGTTTACACCACATAGTAAATTCCAGAGAAACCTAGCATAGGACTTAGCCCCAGTACATGATGAACACTATTTTAAAATTTTTTGATTATAATTATAATTATTTCATTATAATTTTGCATTATAATTATAATTATTTCATCATAATTATTAATTATAATTATAATTTCATGATTATAATTTTAACAATTTTGTGAAATTTACATTATTTCTAGACCTCCTTCTTCCTCTTTGTTTATTATTAATCTTTTCATTTTTGAGACAGGGTTTATCTATATGTAGTTCTGGCTGTCTTGGAACCAGCTCTGTAGATCAGGGTGGCCTCTAACTCAGAGAGACCTATCTGCCCTGCTTACCTAAAGCTGAAATTAAAATCATAGGCCCCCACCACCTGGTCAATTTTCAGTCTTTCTTAGGGAGTAAAACAAAACAAACCAAGAAACCACACAAAGGAAAGTGCCAAGTGTTGACAGAGATGGCGTGCAGTAGATATGGATTTCTCACTAGTTGGATGGCATAAAAGCCCCTCTGCACCAGTATACTGGCTTGTAGGCAGGTCCCAGAGGCCACTTTAAGTTATGGGTTGGCACCTTAAACCCTTCACTGAAGCTCCAAGATACGTTCCCCTGCCTGAGATCTCCTCACCTGAGATGGCCAGGAGCTCCTGAGACCAGGGCCTACTTACTCATACCCTATATGCCCACCCTCAGGGTCCTGCATACTGAGGTCCACTGCAGGTCAAGATTCAGCTGCTTAGTTGACTGGGGGAGGGTGTCTCTGTGAAATACTGCAGTAAGGAAGAGGGGTCAAAAGAAAATATTGATTTGGAGTAATCTAATCAAACACACACTTTTCACTGCAACCCAAGAAAGGCCAGTGATTATCCTGGCCTTACAGTCATGGGGGAGACATTTGCATTTTCTGTTTTACTTCACAGACATTGTGTGTCTTGTCATTGATTATACCTTCTTTTGATTTAGAAAATTGAAATCCCAAACCCAGGGAATACGGACAAAAAAGAGCAGGATTGCCCTATGCCTGCCTAAACTACCCCCAGCTGTCTGATATATTCTTGCCTCACCAATCCCAAAAGCCTCACTCCCCTGCACTCACTAGAAATGCCTCTCTTCCAGTGTGAAGTGTCCCGCAAATGACTAGCACCCCTATTAATCTATTGGCTACGCCTCACCTGGTCAGTAACTCTCTGGGTTTGACATCACTGTGAGTCTGTACATAATTCAAACAAGTGCACCACATACTGTTGTTGCTACAAATCATGAACCTCATAGCCTTGCTTGTTCACCGTGGTCTGCTGATTTGGCTGTGCTCTTCTGCCCTGTCCTGTGAATATACTTTACTGCTTGGTCTAACTACCCTGGTGTAGGAATCTGGAGTTATCTCACACTGTATAAGACAGGGAACTCTTTCTCAAAAGTGGGGTTACTCGGGAGTGATCAGGATAGAGTGCTGCTGACTTTCAGGACAGCTGGAAGTGCTCCCTTTCCAAGCTCTTGCTGTGTCACTAATGATTTGACCTGCTTGACATCCAGGAATCCATGGATACCCACAGCAAGGTATGAAACCTTGGCCCATCAAGTCCCTGGCTTCCTGGAGATTGTGTACTTACCCTTACCAAGAGTTGGCCTTCCATCCGGGAAATGAGAATGCTCAATAACACAGAGTAGCAGCACAGGTGTGGTTACACACATACACACACATACACGCACACTCAGAGAGAGAGACACACAGACAGAGACAGAGACAGAAAGACAGAGAGAGTGACTTATGTCATGATAGGCCATGATAGGCCAGTGGTAAAACTTGTCAGAGGAGTGCCTCAGTTTCAGGGATCCATTGACTACTTCTTGATCTCCCATACAATGTTCCCCCCATGGTCAGGCATTTTCCTGCCCCTATAACTCTACTGAAACACGGTATGGGATACACCTTTGAGAGCAGCACATTACAAACCCTTTCAGAAACTCTCTACCCTGACTTTTGCCTTAGAGATCTTCCTGGCAACACCCACTCTAGTGCCTGAGTGTGGTATTTTTCATGTTCTTGTGACACTCTCTCACACAGACTAAAAGTTCAAAAGCTTGGATCTCCATACTGGCTAGTAGGCTTCAGTGATTTATCTGTCTCTACCCAACTGGGCTGGGTGAAGGCCATCTTGATGGAGCGTTTTTTGCTAAGCAGTATGGGTTTGGGTAACTCTGTTTGGACAACCCCTGATGCACACTCCTCTCTGGGATCATGACCCCACTTCTCCCTCGGAGCTGCATATATTCTGTGCCTCCACTGAGCTCTCACTGAAATCCATGTGCTGTAGACAAACTATTTTATTATCATCCAATTGTGGTCTTTTGCTTCACATTCCACTCTTCTCTTCACTGACTAGTGGAAGAGTCCTCTGGTGGCCTTCTTTGTGATAGTTTTAGTTCCTGTGTGCCACCGGGAAGGCCTGTTTGCCCCTTGTCCCTATTCTATGGACTCCCTGTGCTCAAAAGCTAGTTACCTGCAGTCCACATTGATGGGGAAGGCCTTCCTACTGCTAAAACTTATGAAGCAGAACTGTTGTAATCCATGGCCTTTGAGATCAGTTTGTCTGCTCAGACCACTATTCAGTACCTTGGAGAGAAAGGCACAATGCTGAACAGCTCCAACCAGCCCAGTCACAGTGCAAGCCCACGGTCACTGTTGATTGTCATTGGCTGCCTACATATGGACTTTATCTCTTTGTATTGTGAGGAAGAAGGACTGCTGAAGGCCAATGCAGAGCTCAAAGTGAATTCTAGTAGCCTGGCCAAGGATCTGATGACAATTGCTAGTCCCTTTATTATCCGTTTTCTACTCCTTCTATAGAAGGCTGTGTCACTGACTCTCTCTGTCTCTCTGTACCTATCTCTGTGTGTGTGTGTGTGTGTGTGTGTGTGATAGAGAGAGAGAGAAACAGACATACAGAGAGAGAGAGAGAGAGAGAGAGATTGCCATTCTTGCCCTATTTCTACCCTCTCCTCCCCGATTTCCCTCTACATCCTGATTTGTCATTTTGAGTCCCCGATTGACAGCAATATAAAAGTGATACACTCAGTAATTTGGGAATTCTTGGGGGTCATAGCTCCTTCCTTATTGTGCTTGGATTTCAGTTTATCAGAAATCATATCCCCTCTGCCTTGCTCTTTATGAATACTGAGGAAACCCCCTCTAGGTTAAAGTTCATGTTGAGTTTGTAGGATGTGTTTCTGTTATACTCATTGAATTAGAGGATAAGGATGACACCTTCTGGGGGTGGGACTCGAACCTGGATCCTCTGGTGATGGGGAATGTCGTTCTGTGTGCTGTGAATACACGTTTCTCTTATTGGTTGGTGAGTAAACACTTTTTAGCCAGGAACCAGGCAGGAAAATAGCTGGTGTTACCAGAGTACGAGAGTTCAGGGAAGAGAGATGCAGAGAGGAGCTGCTAAGGAGACACCATGTAGCTACCTGGAAGAGAGGACTCTGAGCATTCCCTGGAATGCCAAGATCATGTGGAAATACATAGATTAATAGAAATAGGTTAGTAATTAAGGGAGTGCTAGCCAATAGGAAGCCTGAGCCATTGGCTAAACATTTAATAATCTGTGTGTTTATTTGGGACTAAACAGCTGTGGGACCAGGAGGAACAGAACACACTTTGTAGAACAGGCAGCCTTGAACTCACAGAGATCTGCCTGCCTCTGCCTCCCTGGGCAGTACTGGAGTTACAGGTTTGGCTACTATGCACAGCTTACATTGTCTTTTAAATGTTTTACCAAGAAGTTCTTCCTGGATAGAATTATTGCAATCATTAGGTCACCATTAGGACAATGAATATCCTAGCTAGGTCCCCAGCTTGACTTCTAATCTGTGATGTCATCTGTTTGAGATTTTTTTCAGCCCCTGTCTCATTAGTTGCTCTCACAAAGCTTCGCCAAGTGCTCATGATGGGCAATCACACAATCCACTCAAGATAATTTCAAACTCTTCTCCGTGAAGTAACCTGACCCATGCTCACTTGGATCCTGGGGAAAGAGTTTAGCGCCATAGTAACCCTCTAGCCAGAAGCCACCAATGAGAGAATATATCACACCTTTTTAAAAATCTGTCCTCTGGGTTTGGAGTGAAGGGTTAGTGTTCTTCGGGCCTCTGGTGTGCTGAGAAACTCCAATCAGGAAAGTTGGCTGGACAGATAACACTTGTGGGCTGCCAGGGACCTGGGAGCCTTTGTAAACGTGTTTAAAGTTATTATAAATGTGCAATATAAATAACTTAAATAATGTAAATGAGACAAACCCTTTGAAAGGTTCAGTAAGGTAGTTTTAGTGTGATATTTTTATTGATTCTTTGTGAATTTCATATATGAATACAATGTATTTGTCTCCTAGTTTTCTTCCTATCTCCTCCTAGGTCCATCCTTATCTGCCTATCCCCTCCTAAATCCAAATCCTCTTTTTTCCTCTGTCTCTCTCTCTGTCTCTTTCTCTGTCTCTCTGCCTTTGAGACTGTGCTTCTCTAGCTTTGGGGACTGATCTGGAACTCAATCGTAGACTAGGCTATCCTCCACCTCACAGAGATCCATCTGTCTCTGCCTCCCAAGTTCTAGGATTCAAGGCATTTGCCACCACCGCTTGTCTCCTCTCTTTCTATTTTAAAATAACCCTTGAGTCCAATTTTTGAGCCCATATACTCATGGGTGTCAGGCAGTCCACTGGAGTTTGATCAGTGTA